AGTGTCATTGTCACTCAGGGTTCAGAGGTTGTGCGCTCCTCAGCACAACCATGAAGACATCAGTAGACATGACAGAACTTTTGCATCTTTCCAGTTGAACTGCATTTTGTGTTCTACCAGAGCAGACAGGAGACAATGATGGAGACAAAGTAAAAATATAAGTCGTAAAATATCTTTCATTTGTAGAGCCACCATGTTTACTGCAGATAAAAAGTGGACAGTTGAAAAAAATGTTGTCCATTTCAATTTAAGTTTAACATTTTTTGGGACACATTTAATAAATCTGAGAAATCCAATATTTTTTATGATCTTTAGGAATAGCAACCTGTTTATATTGCAGTGAAAAAATAAGCCAATAACAGATAAAAATGTGACAAAATACAAAAAACATCTGGAAACTGCTTGGAGATCAGAGAGTTATCAACTTCTTGTCCAGTCTTTATTGCATCTCTCAGCAACACACAGTCCCAACCGTGTTTCAATGAAATCTAGTCTATCTCTCCAGGAGCTGTTGCATAGACAAAGCACATCATTTCGATATTTCTTTAGCAAACTCCTGACCCACTCTGATCATATTCTCTTCATCAATGCTCCACAGAGAAGCAAAGAACAATCATCAATGACAGAGAACATATGAAATAAATCATTGTTCTCTGTCAGCTTCATGCTCAGAAGAGAATATCACAACTCATCATCGTGGTTGGCGAGACCATACACTTTAGAAACACATTTCTCAAGTCAGAAACTATAGAAATGATCCCTGAAAGTATAGTCTTAACTTGACTCAGCCTTAAAAGTGCATCTCATTCACATCAGTGTCATTGTCACTCAGGGTTCAGAGGTTGTGCACTCCTCAGTACAACCATGAAGACATCAGTAGACATGACAGAACTTTTGCATTTTTTCGGTAGAACTGCATTCTGTGTTTACAAAGAGCAGACAGGAGACAATGATGGAGACAAAGTAAAAATATAAGTAGTAAAATATCTGTCATTTGTAGAGCTACCATGTTTACTGCAGGTAACATGTGGGCATTTGGAAAAAAAAAATTGTCTCCATTTTGATTCCAGGTTAACATTTTTGGGGGTATAAATTGGAAAAATCAGAGAAATCCAATATTTTTATGATTTTGAGGAGTCGCAATTAATTGATATTGCCAGGACAAAAACAAACTTATAATGGATAAAATTGTGCCAAAAACCAAACAACATCCACAAACTGGTTGGAGATCAGAGAGTTATCAAGTTCTTGTCCAGTCTTTATTGCATCTCTCAGCAACACACAGTCTCAACTGTCTTTCAATGAAATCTAGTCTATCTCTCCAGGAGCTGTTGCATAGACAAAGCAGACCATTGTGGTATTTCTTTAACAAACTTCTGACTCCACTCTGACCATATTCTCTTCATCAATGCTCCACAGAGAAGCAAAGAACAATCATCAGTGACAGAGAACATATGAAATAAATCATTGTTCTCTGTCAGCTTCATGCTCAGAAGAGAATATCACAACTCATCATCGTGGTTGGCGAGACCATACACTTTAGAAACACATTTCTCAAGT